GGGCCGCGCTTCCGCACGGAGCTCGCAACGGCGGCGCGCACTTGACGGAGCCCGGTTCGCTCAGAGGAGGTGGAAGCGTCTTCCTCCCTGGCCGTTCTTGGCTCTCTCCCTTGCTCAGCAGAGCAGGTCACCCTTGTAAGAGACGTGTTTTGTTCCACCCGGCCTACGCAACTTGCCAGCTTTGCGTGCTGTAAGAGGAATGGTCTCTCAGACGATTTTGTTCTGCTGTGATGAAAGACATAGACTTGCAGATGTGGGGGAACCTGGCCTACCCCTAGAACTTCATAAAAATAAGCCCACGGGGAAACAAACAGTAACATCCATTTACTCTTCTTTACATCATGTCTGTTACCACATTTGGCTAAAAATCACCATAAACCAACATACCAGACCTTCAAACACTGTGCTTTTAAGATTGGTCTACACGTGCACACACATACTTGTTCATCTGGTTTAGTCTATCAGTAGCTCATGAAAACACACCAACATTAGCCAGAACTAAATGAACCCCGCAGAAGATGCACTTCATCCTGTTCCCTTCAGCCTGTTGTGGTGTGCCTTACTAGGCTGGACTGTATTCACCTCCTTAAGAACAAATAAGGAAGTAGTGGGGAAGTTCCCCTGTGAAACGTGCAAACTATCGTTAGTGTTAGAAGAGATGGGCTTGTGGTTTATTTGCACAGGCAAAATTTTTACTTAGAATTTCACTTCAGTCCTGGGGTACTGCCAAAGCCTGCTAAGACAGGAGGCTACTGCGTAACTATTTCAACCATTTGCTTTGCTTTCTGCTTTTGCTGGGTCAGCCCTGTTTGCAGGCAAAGGATGACATTTAACTGGCTGCAGCTCAGTTTCAGTATCTCCACAACAGACAAGTCAGTATTTATTCTAGATTCCTCCTGTCATAAATGGGTTCTTGCTTTGGTAATGTGTAAAACAAATGGCGCAAATGTAGTTAAATCTGTGGGGTTTCATGCTCCTGAGACTGTCTTCCTGTTGCCGTGGAAAATGACACAGGATCAGTTAGGAGGAAATATTGGGTGATGCTACCATTGTGGGTGGTACGTTCGGTGTGATGGTGCAGTGTATATAAAAGGAGAGCATTTGTGTTACAAAAAGCAGCAGCTAGAAATGGCAGTATCAACACTGATACTAGATTTATCAGTGCTTAGCCAATACCCTTATTGGTCACATAGCAGTACTTCATGGTCAGCAGTATGAGTAGGAAGGACATCTGTGAGTATGTAGGCTGATCTACATAGCTTGAGAACTTCCCCTGAATTAACTTGTTTTAACTATGGCAGAAATCTACCCAACCTTGAATTCCTAGGACAGAAATAAATAACGGTTATCAAAAATAAAACATGAACTTCCATGCAGTGAACCCAGTTCAGACTGGAATTCAGCCTGGAACACCACTAGATTGAGAACTGTACAATTACAAAATAAGGAAGATGGTCTAAGCTGAGCAATGTAGAGATCCTCCTTCAGTTTCCTATCTGTGGAATGAAGAGAATAATGATTCTCTCTTCGTAGGGTGTTGGGAGTATGGATACGTTGAAAAGTGTAGACTGCTCACTACTGTGGTAATAGTAGTTATAAACCTCCTATATTTGCCCAAGGGTATTAAAATCTAAGCAGACTAAACAAAATATGTGTGATTATCCTTGATTTTGAGTGAGGAATCCTAAGACTAACCAACTGTATTGAAATTTGGCCAAAAATGACCCCTGCAAAAATAATTTTAATATCCTCTAGACCCTGGTGATAGCCCTCTACATATAAAGCAACTACCCTTTGCATTGACATTGCTGACATCTGCCTATTCAGCATGACTTCAACTCTGTCCTGATGCTCCAAAGCACTAACGCACATATCTTTAATTCAAATTTTATTTATTACAACTCATTCTTAGACACTTCGTACAAGCCATTTTGATGGGCCAGTGAAATGCACAGGGTAGTGCATTTCTTGTGGCTTACCTGCTTAAATATCAGCCAATTGAATTACACATTCATTCCCAAAGGCTGCTGCAAACTCCTGTTACCTACAAAATCATTACTGTATTTACCGATGCCTGTCCTGACCTCTTGTCCTCCCCACAAGGCCCTGCAGTGACTTTCACTCTCCCATTTTAGCCTCCTCTGCTATATCAGTGAGAGTTTTCTGGTTCTGCTACATTTGCCTTTCTTAAGTGTTCGCCAGCTTTCACCATTCCCTCATCTCTCTCTCTCCAAACTCCTAGGATAAGCCATAGAGTAATTCT